GGTGAAATACTCTTGGATCCAAAACGCGTGTGACTGTTGATCATGCTGACGCCAACTAGGTCAGCTTGATCTTCTCACATTGTAAGCCCCAATAAGGAAAAACAGAAGGAGCAAGGAGAGGTGTGGGGATGATTCTTTGAGAGGCACCAGACACAAACTGCTCTTTGTTGTACTTGTCTATTTCTCACTAAGCTGAAACAAGGTTAAAGTTGAAAGGTTACTGCCCCCAGTCTAAACACTGCTGATGCAGGGCTATATGTGCAGCCACAATATCAACTATTCCCTTTCAACTTTAGCATGAATTGCAAAACTTCTAAATAAGAATGAGAGAGAATAGTTTAACATTTCCTCCACTCAGTGATTTTTGGTGTAAAGAGTACAAGACATAAGGTCACACATGCTAGATTTCACAAGACTTTAACATTTCTAAGTGAGTTATGAATGTGATGACCAGCAGAGCTCAAATATGACCCAATAACCCTTGACTCCACAAGTACCCTGAGCTTCTTCCAAAGTCCTTTTCTTCTCTACACGAGAGCAGGAAGCAGAAGAGGGACAGCACTCCCGGGACAAGGTGGAACAGCGTTTTAAATCACCTCCATAAGTAGTTCAGTCTGGGGTTCAGTGTGGAGCGCTTCCCAGCCTCAACTCAAGGGCTAAGAACTGGGGCGGGGCTAACAAGGGGAACCCCGGCACGCAGAGGCCCGGGACAGGGGCTGGATCCTGGGGTAGAATTTCCTCTGGGCTCCCTCCAGACATGTCAACGATAACAAAGAATGAAAGGCAATACAGCTAACCCGGTTTTAGGAAGAGACAATGTTACAGAGCCAAGTCTAATACTGATATTGACATAAAATTGTACGATGGTGTTCATTTACAGTAATGAGGAAACTGCCGTTGAAGCATTATCAAATGCATCACAACAGGGAACTATCTCCCTCCAGCTTACACTGTCACACACACATATGCATGCACATATAGTACAGCAGATGGGGGAGCTATGAAGTCAGCATGATCTAAGCCATTCTTGGGAAAAGGGCAGTGGCTCAACATGCCTCAGTCACAACAACTGCTACAAATCTGTAAATAACATGTCAGGGTGCATCCTCTCCCAACACAAAGACATATTTTTCCCTCCTCTGCCAATAACGTTATGGTCAGTTTTGTATTTACTAATGAGGACAGTTAATTAGCTACTGTCACAACTTGATTATGTGTTAATCCTGCAGATTAGTACAGACAACAGCAGTCAGTTTTCATTTTGCTGTGAGATGTAAAATGTTGTGCTGACAGGCGTGGATAAGTGGATTGTAGGCTGATGGTACTTAAGGCGCAAAGCTGTATCTCTCAAGTTGGTTTTAAGAGAAGATATGTTTGGACATAAATACAAAGAAAGTGGGAAAGTGAGAACATTTCAATTAAATATGATTGTATGTTATGTTTAAATCACATCATGCTACACAAAGAGGCTACAGATCAGAGTAGAGCGCTGGTGAGCACCTGCCAAAGGTTGTCCAAACAACACCTGAACAAAAAAGAATGAAAGGCCCATTGACTGGAGCAGAGATACTCTTTCACGTCTTCTGGCTGGCTGAGATAGAACAGACAACTATTAAAACACCACATTACTCCCATGCTGTGGGTTGGACAGACAGGTCGCTGTATGTTTTTTTTTTGCGCGCATTCTGGAACACATGTGGTGGCGACTGACCGGCCCTGGGGGCGCACCCAGCGGGGACCTGCACCCATCACCTGCTGTCACTGATAACACACGCACTCCGTTCATGCCACTTCAAGTTGTTACAGTGAGTTTCTGTAGACATTCCTTGCCCTCGGGCCGCTCAAAACACACACTTCACATTCCAGCGAGTGTATTCTGGGTTCCCACTCCCTAATCCTCCAACATATGCAGACGCACATATGCATACCATCACACAAGTGCACAGACACACACAAAAATATAGTGACCGGTCCAGAGGTTCCATAAAACCAGAAGCTGCGGCCTTGAGTTTGCTGCCAATGGTCTCACATTTCATTTAACTCAAAGAAAACTCTGAAAGTTTCAATACAGGACATTGTGTGCACTTTTAACTAACTCTATATTTCCTAAAAGTACTTCCATATCAGGTGAAAATGACATCCAGAGGTTATTTCCTTCCATGGTCTTTGAGGTTAGGCTTATAGCTTTCTCTCTTAGCCTGTTACGGTGCACTGTTGTCTGGCTGTAGGTCCTGCTCTGACTTTGATGTAACAGAGAAACTCACTAAACCACAGGAACACCACCTCATGAAAATATGAGCTCTGTTTGTGAACACAGGCTCCTGTGTGTCCAATAAAAAATAGTAGGTGCATGTGTCTTACAAGCACAGGTTACAACAAGCATCTGTTGTTTCGCTCCCAGGTCTCTCTAATGACCTTGTAGGCAGTGCAAGTCAAGTTGTTCACTTAACAACAAGAGTCAGAGGCCGCAGAACACTTGTGGGTCATGTGTTCTTCTCCATATTGGTCTTCCATGCACTGACCTTAACTGTTTTGACATCCAAAATCAACCCGTGTGTGAATGGACCTGAAAAGGCTTTCAATGGGGAGTAAGTCAAGTAAAGCCTTTGTGAAAATGTTAGACATAAACTGGCGTGGTTAGTCTGGTGCTGTATCAAGCGTCTGCACACCCAGTAGAAGAGATTAAAATAGTTTTGACATTACTCTGCAGTTTCAATGTGTACAGACATATTTTTTCTTTAAATCATACGCCTGTGTTGATAGAAGGCTTTCAATGTCTAATCTTTTAAGATGTATCTGCCGGTGGGTGGACATGTAGGTGCGCTAAGGATGAATTAAACCTGTTCAGGAAGCACGAGGGTGCGACAACTTCACCAACAGGCCGTTGACCCAAGTCTAGTTTATCAATTGTCTGAGTCCGCAAAGTGTGTTTCCAAAACAACTTGATCTATTTTTGACCCTTTACTCAAAAACATTTGTGTGTTTGTGTGCGTACATAACAAACAGCTTTATTTACAAAATTGACAAAGTTAGAGAACATTGGAGCTGTCAGCTGACAGGTGCCACCTGACTAACCCGTTTCCATTTTTCAATAGCGTGGTGAATGTACCGTCTCACTGCTCCCCACCAAACAGATGGATATAATTAAGATATACTAATTTAAAACATTACGGACTTCAGCTCTAATTACCAGAGTGGGTCTCAAATGAAGCAGCCAATGTGAAGGCAAGAAACTGTTAATGCATTCAACAAATCAGAGCTGCAGTGACCAACACTTCCCATAAACAGCTGCATGACATCAGCTATGACACAAGCCTGGTTTGAATCAAAGTTACCAGTGTGCTATTTTTATTTAATTTTTTTTAAATCAAAGAGGATTTGGGTGTGACAACACAAATCACTGATGTCGTCAAGTTGCAAATCAGCCTTTTGGAACAAGTTCCTGCTGGTAATCTGCGGTGGATCTAGATAGGGGTGGGCCCTGCTGAGCAGGCTGTTTGTATATTGTTCAGTTGACAACACACACAAGACAGACAAGTTAATGTTGGCTTGCTTTCAATATGACTAATACAGTTGATCATAACATTGTGTTGCCTGGAACTTGTTAGATAATGATGGATGTTTAATGTTTCGTTAAACAGACGCATGTGCACACATTCTGACACCCACACTACATGTGCCGCGACACATACTCTTACTAATACCACCTCTGCTCTCCATCATTGTTTATCAGCCTTTTGACAGCCAGTCCGTTTAAGAACACACGACCAACTCAAACACACAGATAAAAACAGTGTGGCTGGGCCTCTGGGACTTAAACTGAAAATAAGCGTGTGTCGATGGATTACTCATGAAAGTGTTTGTGTGCTTTGATTGTGTGTCTAATGCCCCAATATCAGGCCACTCTGCTCTAATGGGTTTACATGAAGGGGTCGATGGATGCTCTAGGGGTCAGTCGACCAAAAAGAGCAAAGTTGACCCCCACCAAACCCTCAAACCTTCCCCTACACACACAGCCACACACACATAATCAATAACAACATCTCTTTCCATGTTGTCTTAATGCATCCACAGATACTTCTCAATATATTAATTATTTGCTATGTCACAATACAAGTCTTTCATACTGTACATCTCCTCAGTCCCCAATAGCTCACTCATACCAGCAGGCCTATTAGCCCACATAAAGATATATACATTTTTACAATTTCAATGTGTGGGCACAAATATGGCACTGAGGAGGCTTGCTGCTGTTCACCCAATCACAGCACAAATACGGGCGAAGGCGTCTTTCAAAATGTAGGTCAGCCGATCAGAATGCGGATCGGTCCCGCAGCGGATCAATGCGAACACACCCACCCACTCACATGCATACCTTCCTCTGCCGCCCACCAGACCCCATCACATCAGTTGTCATCGCATGCAGTTTTAAACAATGGACAGCCGACCGTAAATCACAGAAACACTTAAGGCGCGCACTCACATTATGCGCGTACACATGCAGTATTCCAATCCATCAGTACTTTACTAGTGTCATTAGATGATTTGCAGTAATGCAGTTCCCGTTGCTTTGACAGTCCTTTTAGGCTAAGACACATCATAGTGCTTTTTAAATGATGCTTCTTTTGGGATACATTAACCGTAATTTTAAGACAGTACTGATTCAACATTTGCGCATTGAGGTCTGTGCCTTTATGCTGTGCAGACTATAGCTCCATCTATACGCTCACCATATAGGCCTACTCTGCGTCTAGACTGAGAGACTGTATCCTATAGCAGCCTAATGTGCCGGTTACAATAATGTTACACCACTATGCAGCTGTTAGAGTTTTATCAATGAGACATGCTGCGGCTTTTTACGCACTGAGCTTCTCCAACACATTCACCACTATCAGACCTCACTCTTGTATAGCGATAAAAAACAATCAAAAGCAATGTCACCAGTGTGTCAATGAGCGTCACCCCCGGCATTCTCACTCACATGAGATCGCATCTATTACCTTGACAGAAAGTGCATTGTCCTCCCCGCGCGCTGCGGAGCCGGGAGTTGCAGCATTTTCCCGTTCAGCACGCGCCCGCTCATTCTACAACTGTCCAGCTTCTCACACTGCTTTGTTTCCGTTTGGCATATCCCGGCGCTGAGAGAAGAGAGAGAAAAATCCACCCGGTGCTTTCCGCCGCTGATAACAGGGAACCGCCTGTGAGAGTCAGCAGCGTTAACTGACTGCCCCGCTCCCGCAGTGCCTCCACTCTCACACACTCTCTCACACACACGCTCAGCCAGGGAGGGAGGGAGCGAAGGAGGTGCGATGAGCATGGAAGGGAGGCATGGATAGAAAGGCAACACCCCAAATTCCTCCTCCACCGGCCCCCGTTTCGCTGATCGCGACCAGCTGTGCCTTTACTAAAAAACACATAAAGGCTTTACCGCGCGTTCAGCCGCAGGATAAAAAAAAACGCAGTCATCACATTCTCTGATGCGACACCTCAAAGACATTTTCACACTCTTAAAACTCTAATCAGCAAAAGGGACAGCCCGCGGACACCTCTGAGTTAACCCCCTGATACCAACGCTTTGAAGGCTCGCATTCATTTAAATGTACAACTATATAGGCTAACCGTGATAGACCCTTTATTAAGTAGGCTACACGTATCAACACCATGACGCGAACATTTTACTATATAAGTACAAACCTTGCATTCAATATTTGACAAAGTCGAACGGGACTGAAAGCACAAACAGTTCATGAACTATTTTTTTAGGATTGCCCATAAGAACATAGTATTGTTATTGATAAATACAGCCTTTCATTTCATTTTGGTTAATAATGTCTTCATGCTTCAGCAATCATAATTAATGTATCATTTGTAAGAACAAATGTTTGGTTGCCATACTTTGAAACATGCCTTTGGCTGGGATATGTCCTGCTTCAGTAGCCTATATCTTGCTTTTCCTTTTCAGCATTTGTATTACTTCTGGAAGGGCTGCAGATTGTCCAGTCTGATATGTATTTATTACAACTACAGACCTGGCTTATTGCAAAATTAGAAAATCATTAATGATGGGACATAGTGATGCTGAAGCTAGAGGAGATGGAGCTAACTTGTACTATTTCATACGGTTGGATACTTTAATCTGTAACAACTAATCATATGTCGAGCCATATGTTTTGTATGTTAAATCTTAATCTGCAATGTATCTATTGTAGTCGAGTAAAAGCAAAGAATGCCCCAGAAATGTAAAGGGTACAAGTACAAAGGGGCATATAATGGATATACTTAAGCACAGCACTGTCAAACTTAAATAAATAATGTTCACTTCTGCCAACTGATAAAAAGCAAACCTTTATGGGCTTAATTATGGGGAAACCATAATCACACATATCATTGAAATAACCACCTTTGGTTAATCACATAAATATCTTTCAACAGTTGCCCCCTGTCGGGAGATATGCTGGTTTATAGCCAAACCAACAGTGGCAATCAGCCTCCATCAGGATATAATGAAGCAGGGAGGGTAAAGGACTCTAGTGTTTCTATTGTAACAAAGTGTGTATTGGCTATTGGAGACTTGCAGTGGAATAGAGTGGGTATCATTTGTCCACTACCCCCTCCCTGAGCTCTGCCCCTCACAACCAGTGGTGTTTAAACACTTTAAGCACTGAGTGGACCCCAGTGAATAGATCTGCCTGTCTGATGGGCCTGTTCAATAAATGAATGAAGGGTGAGAAAAAGAGAGACAGACAGACAATGGAGGGGGTGAGATGGAGATAATTAACGCTGTCTTTTCAGTGAAGAAAATGGTGTGAGTGGTCGAAAAAGTGAGACAAAAGTTAAGAGATTAAGGCTGCATCTACACAGAGACGAAAACAAAAACTAATCGAATTCGATATCAAAAAAGTCTTCCGTCCACACGGTATCGGCTCAAGAAACTTGTCCATCCACACTAGACCGCTCGACCCGCTGGAGACGCTATAGTACATATGCCGGGCCTGTAAGTGGCGCTGTACTTCTGCCACAAAATACACCAAAAGCAGGGAAGAAGACCCCCCCGAGCATGGTTGCCATGGTTGCCTGGTTGCCCTTCTGTTTATTCTCCGCGTGGATTTAGCAACATGTAGTTCATGTAGTTCTCCATGTCCACTTGTTGCTGATGGTTGTGGTAGAGGAGCTGTAGATTTTGCACTAACATCTGTAGCAGACGTGGGGAGAGGCGGGGCTATGGCTTCATCGTTATCAGGATATGATTGTATAGGACGTACACACGGAGCCGTTTGGCCCCCCAGAGCATTTCGTCCGCAGATCTACCCACCTTGGGACCCGTTACCGTTAGATGGCTCCGTTTCCGCGGTTCCGTTACGGCCTCGTGCGGACGAACCGTCCATACGATAGAGCAGTGGTTCTCAAATGGGGTACGCGGACCCCTAGGGGTACGTTGGAGTACTGCAGGGGGTACGTGAGATTTATGTTATGTTAATGAAAAAAACAAAGATAATTAATGCATTTACACAAACTACTAATAGTAGATTCACTACTTTATTCAAAAGTTTACAGTAACTCTCCTGACAGCCCGTCAGTCTCGTGCAGCTCGCTGAACCTGTAATAAGTTACAGTTAATTACTGCTTTTCAAAGGACCTAAACAATAAGCGTTGCTTGACAACGGCGTGTGGCCGTAAAGTATAGCGCAGCATTAAGCATATGTCTACATGAGGGGTCAAAATCCCATGCTCATAAAATGCTCATATTTTTTTTTC